GCCAAAACAATACCTTGTTCACAAAGTTCACACCTTTTCCCAAGCTTTTAGCTGTTTGGTAAATGGCTATGGATGAAGAACAGAGGAAAGATGAGAGCAAGAGAAAACAAAGGGGAAATGAAAGAAAGATGAAAGCAATAAATAAAAGCTAAAAGTTAGAAAGTATGTGAGCTTATGCTAGATTTGGTTCTTTTGTATGTAAAGCGAAAGTGAGTGAGTGAATCTCTCTCGTCATCATCAGTTAAGGGTCAAACTACGGAGCAAAGTTTTTTTTTTCCATCCTTTCCTCTTTCTTTGTTTTTCTCAATCAATTATTATTCCATTATTATTTCATTTGTTTCCCAACCCGAGGACTCTGAATCACCACAGTAATTGGTTTTACTCCCCCTCCTCTCCTCTCAATGCCCCTTTCAAATTTTACCCTCTTCCCAATAATCTCCAGTACAACTCCCCGTAACCTTGAAATTGACCTTGGCCTCAGTTACAGCTTTACCCTCCCTCTTTTTACGGGCAAACTGTGACATTCTCTCGTGTAAGGTACGTTTGGTTAGAAATTTTTTCCGGTGAAAGCCTACCAAAATGTCACTTTTTAGAGACGATTTTACTTGAAAACCTGCTAAAAAGTAACATTTTTGATACTTTTGGCAGACTTTCAAGTGAGTCTTTCCCTCAAAAACAGGGAACCAAACAGCCCCTAAACGAAAGAAACTCTTTAGGTAATAGTACATTTTATATTTAAATTTTTTGCTTCACACTAATTCAAGAATAGGTAATTTTTAAAGTTTCAACTATTAGTTGGATAAATGTACCAAATAGAATGTCATATCTATGACACGAAAATATCGGGCGAACTAGGTCCATGAAACTTGTGATGTTTCGAAAAAAAAAGTATGAATCATCAGAAATTAAATAGAAAATGATCGAGAACTAATTTATACAAATCACTTTCTAAAAGTGATTCTTTTGTTATCGGATAGACCTACTTTTGCAAAACTCTTTTCCCAAAAGTTGACGAATTGACTTAATTTTAGGAAATTCGTTTCCATTTTAAATTGTAAGAGATGAGTTGGAGGCTTCATAGTTAAGTGTAAAACCCCATATTTTTTTTAAAATACTATGGTAAATAGTAATAAATGAGTTATATTATGATAAATATCATTTAATAATGAATGAGCATGATAGTAATTAATTTGAGATCAATTAAGAGTATATATGCATTATACATCGATGCAGTTCGAATCTGAAAAAAAGATCAGTTAAGAGTATATATGCATTACACACCGATACACTTCTAATCTGGAAAAACTCAAAAGACAAAAGTTATAGGTCCCTTCAATAGCTTTCCAACTCATCTTAAATCACCTCATTCTGAGGTTGAAAAAAAAGTTACAGCCAAAAAATCGAAGACTATTTTCCCAGTCTGACTGAGTTTCCTATTTCGGGCCAGATTTGTTTGTTTCGGGTATGCCTCTATATATACCGGTGTTTTTCATAAAAAAATCCCTTTTATATCGTATTTTTGAACCCTAACAGCCACCCTCTCTCATCAAAAACTCTAGAGCATATTTTGGTGAAATTTGAGAACTTTGTGAAGCAAATACCGAGAAAGGGGCGAGATCGTCGGCGTTTGATGAGGGAGAACTTGTTTTCTTGCATCTTTGGATTTCCCAGCAGCGTTTTGAGGCAAGATTATCTTCCTCCAAACCTATCCCCTGTAGTAATTCATGTTTTTAATATGTATAATTGGTTAATCTCATGTGTAGTGTTTATGCCGATGATTTAAATTCTAGTTTTGATGTTAAATCTTAAAACAACAAAGAGATCAGTAAAATTTATCTTTAATTGATAAAAGTAGATGGTCATGATCATTAGTTTTTTTAGATTTATTGTTAATTCTTGTTTTATATGGCCTAAACCCTAATTGTCGATGTATGGAAACTTTAGGCTTGAACATGAAATAATATGATGATATGAGTTTATGGATTAAAAAACCTAGTTTAATGTGTAGATTTTTGAATAAAATCATCAAATGAAGAAAATGTATTAACTTGGTGTTTAGATCCGTGTTTAATTGCTAAGATGATGGACTAATTAGGTTTTGAACCCTAATTGTACAAACTTATCTAATTTGTTATGTTTAAAGTATGTTAAACCCCAAAGATCATGTTATGATGATAAATAATTGTTTAGTAAAACCCTAGTATGTTAAACACAAGATTTTTAAACATGTTTTAATACTCTATAATGATGTTCTATAAGTAGAATTGTCTTAACTCCACAAACACTTAAACCTGAGTTCTGGACTCGGGCCAGTCGAATGAACCTTGTGCATCAGTCGACTGATCTAATTTCCACCCTGAGTTGTATTTTTTTTTCTTTCGATCAGTCGACCGACTTGGTTGACCAGTCGACCGACCGAAGCTTGTTTCTTATGCATGTTATGCAATTGGTCGTCGGTCGACCGATGCCCTAGGGCAGTCGACCGACATCTTGTTTGTATGAGACGGTGTGCATAGATACCGTTGATGGGCACAACTCAGTATTGTGTAAGGTAGTGTGTCAGTATACCGTTAAAGTAGACCAATTAGCCATAATTGTAGGATGCCTGAATAGGTAGTCTGTTCCGAACGGTGAAGCGATGAAAATGTCTGAGGAGATAGTCTGTCTCGCATGGTGATGCGATGAGGCTAATGAGCCGTACTTATAGAATGCTTGAGGAGACAGTTCGTTCTGCATGGTGATGCGATGAGGATATCTGAGGAGACAGTCTGTTCCGCATGGTGATGCGATGAGGCTAATAAGCCGTACTTATAGGATACCTGAATAGGTAGTCCGTTCCGCACGATGATACGATGAGGCTAGTGGGCAGTATTTACTTAGGATGCTTGAACAGGTAGTCCGTTCTGTATAGTGATGCGATGATATCATAGAACTTTGCAAGAGATAGCATTGTGAAATGTATGACAGTTGAGTCTTGAGCGACAGATCGTTCATGTATATGGTTCACCGTTGAGTTATATTGTGATGGGCTATATGGTATTGTGGATTACACAGGATTATGTACTAGTATTCGTATTAACTACCCAATAATAGTATGAGGTATTGGGTTGACATATGTGTCTTGGTTTTGTTGATATTGTAGTATTACATTCCTTTATTTTTTATTCTCAGTTTTGGAGTTGATATTTAGCGATTCACAATTTGAGACATGATATATATATGAGGGTTTTCTTATTTAGATTATTTCGCTCGATGTGTTGTGGATTTCTAAGTATTAACCCCATCTAGTACATGGTAAATGATTTAGGTAGACTATGCATATATAGGTAGAGCCTCCATCATATGTAGCAGCCCTTCCCCTGGGGGCGGATGAAGATGATTTTGCTAGCGCTCTACGCTGTTATTTCCTCTTCTTTTCAGGCAGCGGATCAGAGTTTCGGAGAGCCGCAGGTTGACAGAGTTTCTGCATAGTCGCCGTCATTTCTTGATAGACAGCTTGTGCTCCACATTAGTTTAGTATTTATTTAGTGATTTATAAACTTGTATTTTATTTTGAAGGCTGAGAACCTTAGTACTATTTCAGTTGACTCTGTGTACTGAGATATCAGTTATACTTTTTTATTCAGTTGGGACATGATCATATTCTTTGGATACTTCTTTCTCTTGGCATGTTCATTTCATTTTTTACTTTTCTTGTATATGCTTGTACCTACACTATTCTTAATTGATTCCACTAGAGAGATATTAATGTGATGGTGAAACATGTTATTGTACTGTGTGGGTGCATAGCGGGTTTGACATATCTGAATTCACATTGGACCGCAGCCTCGTGTGAAACCAGGGGCGTCACATTAAGGAAAACAACCAAAAGGTCCCTAAGGATTGGGAGCTAAGCTTATTGATTCAACTTTTTTGAGCACTTGGACCACATGTTTAGAATAGATCCCAGCGACAAAAAAAACCCTCCCCTTATATGAGATTCACGTACTTACACAATGAATGAATTGATTCAAAATGCCAATGTGAGGAGTGAGAACTAGTTGTAATTTCATGGAGAAGATTGAATGAATGATACTGAGGTTGGGCCCTGAGATTGTAGGAGCAAGAGGGTGCAGAGGAGACAAGCATTTGAATTCGATTAACTCTCATGTGTGCAGAGTTGCAGAGCTTGTCGTGGATCTTCATTAGGCAATTCTGCATTTATTTTGGTATCTAATTAGAGACTGGGACCACTAATAACTCACCCATTACAAAATAGTCAGAGCTTCTTCATTATCATATGGAGTGGGGAAGCGCAAAACTTATTAGATGAAGATATGATGGGTTGCTTAAGGGCATGACTCAAGATTAGTATATAGTTACATTAGACCAATAGTGACCTGTTCAATAATCACCTGCTTTTGACACTTTTGAGTAGGATTCATATTTTGTACAATCTAGCACTCATTGATCTAAACTTATGGTTTGGATTTGAAGGATTTACTAATTTGTTGAGGTAATATTTTGTGGATCTAATTTGAGTATTGTTATGATACAGTTCTAAGGCCAATTGCTAAGAGACACCAATAGCCAATGTTTGGTACTTGTTCTCTCTACAATTAACGTCTATACGGAACTACAGTCTATTATGATCTCATCATACAACCCAAAGCTTATTACTATATAAACATGTTAAAATTTGATATTTGTCCTCGATTTTCTCCCTCCAATAATCATGTGGTAGTACAGTTCAAATCAAAATGCTCATAAATTTCATGTATGGACGTGGATGTCCTATCATTGTTAAGACGGCCCCTCCGTTCAAATATAAGTCCATTGAAATTTTGCTCTTCATATTAGATTCCTTTGTGAAACGAATTGGATTTTGGGTCTATCATTTTACCCAATTCAGTGGATTTTTTAAATAATCCATCTCGGAATAGAACCCAAGACCATGGTGCTTCACATCTTTCATGTTTGTATCTTAAAAATTTCATTGCCTCGTCCATTAACATGGGGGCGAATTGTGGGCTCTTCCGCATCGATATTGGAGTCTCCTAACCGTTCGGATTACCATGGTGGATCCTGACTCAACACTAATAAGTACAAATAGGTTGTGTTGTTAGGTGGGATCAAGGATATTCTCCTCCTAGGGAGCATGGATTGTTGTCATGTGCTTTATTTAATCATGGATATTTCATTACTAATTTGTAGTTACTGCTAATTACCATGATCCATGGGGTGCAAACTGACACAAACCTAATCGGTGGTGGTCCATTTAAAAT